GAAGGGACTTCATTGTTGGTCAGTTAAGTGTGGTTAGAGTGGGCCTACTTTGCTGGCCTTCCCACTTTTGGGCAGTTTTTTCTCCTTTCCAGAAGGGTGGAATTTCTCTCCTAAGGCTAACTGGGTGGAAGTTAAAGCTAGTGGGGTGGGGGAATGCATAAAAGCCAGAGGGCCATCAAATGGGCCGTGACCATCTGACAAACCCCAGAGAGCTGGACCGAAGCCCCAGGAGGGTGGGATTTTGCCCCCAGGCCTCCAGAACCCTGCTTCAACAGGAGATGCAGATAGATATGGGTGGTTGAAGCCCCCTTCAGTGAGGGTGTTCAAGGATAGGCTGGACATGGACATGGTAGGCATGTCAGGAGAGGAGCCAGATGGAGCAAGGAGTCAGACTAGATGACCTGGGAGGCCCCTTCTGACTTGCTCTGTTTCTATGTTCTATGTTTCTATATAATAACCCACACGCAGTCTAAAAAGCAACATATTTCTAACACCAGAGCCAATTCTGGTTTATACATGTATTTATGCTCAGGCTGCTCATCAAACCAACATACCTCCTGGGCGTTGTTTTGACTTCCATTGTCTGTGACCAGAGACTGTGTCTTCTCCCATTTCTCTGCAACCTGATTTGTCTCTTCTATTTTTTCCTGGCAACTTTTCTCGGAGTTTAGTAGTGTCACTTCATAAAATTCTTGGATGTCTGTGGGTAAATGAGCAATAATGTATTTAGATACACATATAAAATGATGGCATTTGATATACCAGATACTGAGTTTATGGAGTGTTTACTTCTTAAAAATCATCATGCATTATGCACTTGTTGAAAACGACATTGCATTTGGGTATGCGCAGTGGCTCTTTTCTAACGGGAAGGTGCTGACATCCCAATTATCATTCTATAATGCTGTGCCTTAAAATACATGCGCACACATTTTCCTTTTAAAATATTGTATTAATCTTCTCATCAATATTGCATGAATATATGAATAATGCATGGCTAATCATTACTGAATGAAGACTCAGAGTAAACAAACTCCCTAAAAGGGAATCTTACAAATATATTGCAGAACATTACAATGCAATTCTCCCAGTCCCGAGTAGCATCCCATCATGGGCTGATGAAATGTATTAAAATATTTGTTTCAAATAAGCCGAACACCTGCAGCCAAATACATATATGAGCATTACTATCCCAAACTACAGCTCTGAAGCTACTGAGTAGTGGTCAGGAGAAGGGCTTGTATCCCAGTTGTAAAAAAACAAAAGAAAACACTGCTTTAGGTCCTAAGTTCAACCCCGGGAGAGCTGCTGCTGCTGCTGCTCAGTAGATGTTACAGGCTGCACTGGAACAGCACTTTAAGCCAAGAATCCTGGCTTAACAAGCCAAATATCAGGTGGTAGATGCAGTCTCTGAGTTTGTGTAGAGGTAAATAAACCAGAAATAAACCATCATAGCTTACCATGATGGCCAAACTCACAATTCAGGCTGGGTTTGCACAAATAAACCAGGATCATTTAACCATGTTTTAAAGCTGGTTTGTAATCCTGGCTTGTTTGGGTGCAAGAAACCATAATCTAGGCTTTGGAAGTAATTCAAAGCTCTCTTTTCTTGCTTTAAGAACATAAGAATATATGGTCTGTCCAGTCCAGTACTCTGTTTATCTGGCAACCAGATATATACAGGATCCCTCAAGCAGGATGGATACAAGACCTCCTTTGCCTTCTCATGAAAAGCTGAGCTCATTTGCATCATGGTTTATTAAGTGAGGGATCCTGGTTTAAAGTGACATCCAGACGTAACCACTGAGTGAGATCAGGGGTAGGAAACTTGAATCTGTGGGCTGCATGAAAATCCATATCCTTCCTGTGTGGTCTGCACCACCCCACCAAAATATTTTTTCCCAAATATGGTATACAGAATACATAAAGGTTCAGAGTTTGTTCGTATGCAAGCTAATTTCAATCTTTTTGCATTCCATGGGAGCACCTGATGCCATGTTGGGTTGGGTGGGGGTTGTTCTGCCTCAAATTGGCCACCAGGCCTCAAAAAATTCCCCACACCTAATTAGATGTGGCATCACTGCACATCACAACAGTGCTACCCATTACATCTTGTTAGCACTCGCAGTGTTCACTGGCTCCCAGGTCAGAAATGTATGAAGACGCAATGACTATTTCTCACTTTTTGGAACAACAACGAGCTATCCATATGAGCTATCAGACTGCACAGTTTACACAATAAAGTCACCCATGGATCTATTCCATCCTCATGGTGGCCTGCCCCATTTCTGGCATCCCCACATATTGACTCAGCTTACCTGTGTAGTTGTACAACGTGTGTAGTTGTATTTCCAATGAATGTTCTTTGAAATATCTGAGCCATTGAGTGCTGGATTCGCTATGTGTGGGCCACATTCAAGTAATGCAACGCAGTTTATAGAGCTGGTTGTGCCAATGATGAGGCAAACAAAACAGCTGGAGAGGGAAGAATGGAGGACTCTCAGTCCCAACCACATATATGGGATGGACCTGGAGACAGGATCTTTGAATCCACTGCTTGCCCAAAACAGTGGCCTTCTCTGCTGAGCCAATGGAGTGGCCCTGATGGCTGACTTCTACAGCCGGAGAGAATAGCTGCTGGATGTTTGTTTGAAGAGAGGGAGGGCTCCCCTCTGGGGCTGAATGTGGCCCTGCTTTCCTTCTCTGACACTGGGGCAGCCTGCCAAGCATGGAATCTTGGGCCGTGTCCAACATGCTGCCTGTGCATGAATGGGATCCATGATCAACACAAAGAGAAGCGAGTATCTCCTAAAGGCAAAGTCCTCCTTTCCAGCATTGGCTATGCTGCTAAGGGTGATGGGAGCTGTAGTCCAAAACCTCTAGAGGGCCATCTGCTGGCCGTATATATTTGCAATAATCATTGTATTTGCTTTCTTTCTGGCATATGTTTTCATTGTTCGTGATAGCATTGTTTGCAAACAAAATTAAAATATGGAAATAAGGAATCACTCACTGTTAATCCTTTAATCTAATCAGATTTTTATTATTATTATTATTAAATCATTTCTATTATTAAAACCTTTTCACTAGATCCACTGTTTTGGAAAAAATATATATTGACTTCAATATTAAGGATTTCAAGCATGTGCACAAAACTGGGCAAACAAGCCTACCTAATTTTAACCAATTTGTAAGATGTCTTTCTTTTAACATGACATGCATAAAGTTGCTTTATCATCTGACAGTAATATGTTTAGCTTATTAAATCCCCCAGATTTTTAAAATCTGTTGTTTCATGCTTCCTTGCCATCAAACGGTGGTGATTTCAAACTAGTCTGTCACTTGGTGGACGCATAAACCACTTCTTTGAAAACGAAGTGCACAACTTTCTCTGCACTGATGCCCACCAGTTGTTTTGGAGTACAACTCCCATCATCCTCATCCAGGGCACCGGTTCGGGGAAGAATGGTAACGATTCAGCAGGCATGATGGGGCACAAAACCCAGCACATCTGTCAAGCGCACCAAAGCAACATCTGTCCACCTAGCAATGTTGAACTCCCAACCTGTTTCAGCACCTGGAAGGCTCCTGGGTCTCCATCCCTCAGGTGACAATTTAGACACATGCGCCATGTCACCAAAAACAAGACAGTGATTTGTGGCCCCCTGGAGACAAATAGATATATTACGGCATCAGAAAGCTCAGTTTCTCAGAAGCCGAGATCTTGAGCCTTGTTGACGAGTGCATGTGCAAAGAGAGCTGGGAATGATAAACAATGGGATCCAGTGGTTATGGACAGTAGCCAGTGCTACAGACCCAGATGCTGATGGGCCCCACAACTAGTGCAAGGGACAGCTAGTGCCTCATCGGGAGACCAGCAAGAGTAGAAACTCTAAGTTCTGGAGATGGAGCAGGTCAACGGCGTTCTCCTGGTTGCCCTCTAGAGCACTCTTGCTATTGCACTAATTTATGTCCTTTCTTCTTGTTGGAAGGGACCCAAGGCAGCTGCTCCTCCACTCCTTTTTATGCTCACCACAACCCCGTGAGGTAAGTTCAGCTGAGAGTCAGCGACTGGCCCCAAGCCACCTGGTCTCTTTCACAGCCGGGCATGGATTAGAACCCCAGTCAACCAAGCCCCAGTCCAACACTCTCAACGCTACACCACCCAGTTCTCATGTGCACACGGTCCCGTGGGCACAACAGAACCAGCAAAAACAGCAGCAGCAACACTGGATGCTACCCCTGATTTGCAAATATTAAGTTGCTGAGGCACCAATCCTATTGGCCAGGTTCTCCCCTTCCCACCCCCAGTAGGCCCCATTTCCCCCCTCTGAGGCCCAGCTGTGACCTGGGGGTTGGGGGGCGGTGGCAGCAGTTCTGTCTGTGCTGGCTGCGAGGGGGCCAGGGCAGTGGCTTGGAGACCGCAGGACCCCAGAACTGGGGCTCCAAAGAATCCTCTAACCTTGCAGAGAATGTGGGAGGGACATGGGACAGCAGTTCCTGCTATCATGAACGGTCACTTCACGGAATTGTCGCACTGTTCAGACATCATGCTAAACCATCATTTCACCTGGGAGGAGCAAGACTTGGGCTTGTGCACACCGCCTGTTCCTCTGAAGGAGTTGAAAATGAACTCTGTCTGTTATTTTGATTGATTGATTGATTGATTGATTGATTGATTGAAAGGGCTCAAGGCAACTTACATCCTTCTCCTCCTCCATCTTATCCCCACAACAACAACCCTGTGAGGTAGGTTGGGCTGAGAATCTGTGACGGGCCCAAAGTCACCCAGTTGGCCCCATGGCTATTAGCTGAGCCCCTGGAAAGGAGGCTAATGCTGACAGTTATTTATCTGGATCATAGAATCCTAGAACAGTAGAGTTGGATGAGCCTGGAAGGCCATCGGGTCCAACCCCCTGCTGTTGCAGGACACCAAGTCACACCCTTTTAGGTGACTGTCCAGAATCTTTAGTCATCGACTGAAAGTTGGCTTGTTTGTTCAGATAAATGACAGTTTGTCCCAGTCTGGGCAGAAGGACAAAATCAAAGGTTTTGGGTCAGTTCCTCCTGTCTGCACAACAAGCAGTGAGCCTGAAGCTGAATGATATAGTTCTAAATCAAAACGAGCATCCACCGTCCACTAGATCTCCAGATGTCTGATGCCTTGATCCCAGAGCCCGGGCCCAGCCACTTAAAAGCCTTCTCCTTGGTCCCAGCTACTAGGACATCCTATTCCCAAGAGTAGGCAACCTGGCACCCTGCAGATACTTTGACTACAACTGCCATCACTTCCACCCACCATGGTCAGTGGTCTGGGATTATGGGAGTTGCTGTCCAAAGCATCTGGAGGATGCCAAGGTTGCCTCCTTGATCTAACCCCCACTCCATACTGCCTACCCAGGGTACTTTCCTAGAGAGTCAGAAGATGCTGTTCCTATGGAAGTCCTCTTACTTTGGTAAAGTGACAGTAGCAGCAGAGAGTATTTTATTTTTTTATTTTATTTATTTAAAACATTTCTATGCCGCCCCATTCGCCGAAGCCTCGGGGCGGCTCACAACATAAAATTAAAAAATAAAACATTCCAATATACAACCGCACTGCCAAGGAGACAAAGTCCACCTCTCTTGCCCTTGCCAGACTCCTTTCCCATGCCAAGTTGAGGTCAAGTCCATGAACACTCAGGAAGGCTGGCAGCTTCT